CTTCTTCACATTCACCGGCCGTAAACCCTGGCGGAAAGTTCTGATTATTCATCAACCTCAAGACTTTCGATTTGTTTCGAAAACTGTTTTACAGATCTGGCCTTTTGTGTACAGACTGTTGGTTTCTTGCCTCTCAGGCAGATGCACTCTGACTTTGAAGGAAATCAACAATTATTCGACTTTTACGACATGCTTGTTGGGGAGACAGTGAGTCTGTTTTTGTTTTTCTATACAATGAGGCCCCGGAACCCACATGGGAAACCCACACCAGTTTTCAATGGCACTTGATGATGATAAAATATTTATGTTCAAAGTTAATTCCCACAAAACAGTGATCTATAGAGCAAAACACACCATAAGAAAACTTTACCATGTAGGCACTTAAATAAAAATATTAAACCATGTTCGTAATCAAATCCACAACTTCAAATCCACATATTCAGAAATTCACTTTTATTTGTAAATTCACTTGTAATTTTCTTCTAAGAACAAATCAAGTACTTGTAACTTTCTCAAAGGAACAAGTAAAACACTTCTAATTCCTCTCACAATGTGAAAAACATGCTTGCAGACATATTATTAGTTTAACAAAACATTAGTATCCTTGCTCACATCCAATCCAACATTTGTGACCAAACATTAAAATTGTTCAGGTAAAGCCAAACCATGTTCTTTTTAAGCCAAACGACGACCACGTTAAGGCAAATCATGTTTAATCCAAGCCAAGCCATGTTCAACACATTAAAGCTAAACAATGTTCAAGTAAAGCCAAATCAAGTCTGAAATAAGTCAGACAGGTCTGGCTTTATTTATGACCTATTTAAAAACGGTTAAGTCATGTTCAGGTTAAACCAAAGCATACATTAAGACAAACTATGTTCACGATGAACCCAAAACATGTTCACATTGAAGCCAAACAATGTTCACTCTACAGTAAAAACATATTTTTTCAATAAGTCAGCTTTATTTATGGCCAATTTAAAAAAAAAAAAACCTTCAAACAATCTTTACTTTCAATAAATACAATAGAGAGTACAACAAATTGTGCTAAACATCTATGAACAAAAATGGCTCTAAACAACCAAGACATAAACAATTCTAAGTTTCCACCATCTGTACGCATCTAACATTCAAGAATGAATTATATAAATAAATTGCACAAAGCCAAAATGGCAACCAGCATAATATACAGCCAGTAAGGAGATGAAAAGGTGTTGATACTCACCAAAAAGTGTCTTTAAAAGATCATGGTGATCAATAACAAATGCCTACTACAGTAGCACTGATAAAATGTTGCCTAAGAAAAAAAAAAGGGGGCCCGTATTGCATAGGTTGTTTACCATCAAAAATACAAAAAGCCATGTGATTATTTTGTAAAGGACTCCTTTTTCACACTTGTCCTACATAAAATACCAGGCTCACATTTTTACAGACCAAACAGGATTTACTGGATGATGTGGTCAACGTTAGGCTGTCAGACTTGATTGTCCAACCTCTACCTGGACACATTCTTCTGTATCTGCTGCAGACCAGACTAAACAAACAACATAAATATTCATCTGCCACATTTTATTAAAAAAGCAAAATACTAGATGATTTGTGCATTTTGTAAAAACCAGCACGATCAGCCACATTGTTTCTGAGCATAAGGAATTAATAAGGGTTAAGTGAAGCGAATAATTATTGTCAGCATTTAGTTATAAATAATCATAAATATCAAAGTGTTGATGAAATGTTTTTTTTTTTAAACTATAAAAACAAAAACTTATGCACAAACAAAAGTTGGTCAGTATTTGGCACAAATTTGGTCAGCATCTGGTAAAAAATATGGTCAGTATTTGGTTCAGTTATAATTTGTGTATAACTTCTTAAAATGATATGGCTGCCAATAAAGTGAACATCATGGTTGCACACATGTGATCAAAACATTATAGTATCTACTGTGGTTGTGGTTCTGAAGAAACCACCATTGAATATGTATTTAAAGTGCCCTAGCTTCTCCACAATGCTGTGTTTAGAAAAAACATAATTATTGTTTATTTCATAATTCATGCTTTTTCATTTTCACAGTAGTTGATCAGAAGTGATTTGGACATGTTGCTGGGTAGTCGCCCACGTGCCTACTAATGATAATTTGTAAAATGCATTCACAGACATACATACTCGTGGGGGTCTTTCTCGTTGGAAAAAAAAAGTAAAACAGTAATGGACCCTTTAACGCTGATAGTATTTAGATACTATATCTAGAACATATGTATATAAACATATAATTAGGTATTTGCTGAGTGACTGGTCAACATAAGGCTGACCACTTTTACTTCCCACGCAATTACCTGTTTACCCCCCCCTCCCCCCCTCCCCAAAAGCGGGGTCCACCTGGAAACAAAGGTAAACGTTTGGAAAAAGTCCACCACGATGTAGATTTGAACCCTAGACCTTCAGGCCAGCAAGTGAGTTCTATCCACTACATTACCTCCCTGTGTAGGTTCCGGGTCCCCATTGTAGGGAAAACAAGAATAGACCCACTGCCTACATAAAAACGCTGTCGTAAGAGTCGACTAATTGGGAGCTCCCTTCAAAGTCGGAGTGCATCTGCTTGAGAGAAACTAACAGTCTGCATACACATGAGTCAGATTTGTAAACCGTATATGCAGGTAAAATTCAGGTCCTGGAACAGGACGTCAGTCCAGAAGTGGACGAACAGCCAAAACTTTCTGCCGAAGTTTACAAAAGATAAACACAAAGAGAAAAAGAAGATGAAGAAAAACTACGTTACCTCAGTTCCCTTACATGTTTAACTCCTTAAGGTTTTGAGTTTCATTAGCGAAACAAAGAAAAGCAATTCTACACCCTACAAAGCAAACTCTCAGAGATTACTAATTTAATTCCATGTGTGGGTTACCCGGCCCCTGTGTGGGTTCCCCGGCCCCCGTGTGGGTTCCCCGGCCCCCGTGTGGGTTCCCCGGCCCCTGTGTGGGTTCAGCGGCCCCTGTGTGGGTTCCCCGGCTCCCGTGTGGGTTTCCCGGCCCCCGTGTGGGTTCCCCGGCCCCCGTGTGGGTTCCCCGGCCCCCGTGTGGGTTCCCCGGCCCCTGTGTGGGTTCCCCGGCCCCTGTGTGGGTTCCCCGGCCCCTGTGTGGGTTCCCGGGCCCCGTTGTGGAGGAAAACAGAACAAACCCACTGCATCCATAACATGTATGTCGAAAAATACGAATAATTGTTTTCTTTGAAGTCAGCGTGCAGCTGCCTAAAGTGTGGGAAACCAACAGTCTGCATACAAACAACCAGATCTTGTGCATGCACAAGTCAAGTTCTGGAGCATAAGCGAAGTCCAGAAGTGAAGGAATAACAAGAACTGTCTGCCGTTGCTACAGCCTGTGAATGATGTTACAGCATGTGAATGGTGCTACAGCCTGTGAATGATGTTACAGCATGTGAATGGTGCTACAGCATGTAAATAGTGTTACTGCCTGTAAATGGTGTTACAGCCTGTAAATGGTGTTACAGCCTGTAAATGGTGTTACAGTCTGTGAATGTTGCTACAGCCTGTGAATGATGTTACAGCCTGTGAATGGTGCTACAGCCTGTGAATGGTACTACAGTCTGTAAATGGTGCTACAGCCTGTGAATGTTGTTACAGCCTGTAAATGGTGCTACAGCCTGTGAATGTTGTTACAGCCTGTAAATGGTGCTATAGCCTGTGAATGATGTTACCGCCTGTGAATGGTGTTACAGTCTGTGAATGTTGCTACAGCCTGTAAATAGTGCTACAGCCTGTGAATGGTGCTACAGACTGTGAATGGTGCTACAGCCTGTAAATGGTGCTACAGCCTGTAAATGGTGCTACAGCCTGTAAATGGTGCTACAGCCTGTGAATGATGTTACCGCTTGTGAATGTTGCTACAGCCTGTAAATGGTTTTACAGCCTGTAAATGGTGTTACAGCCTGTGAATGGTGTTACAGTCTGTGAATGTTGCTACAGCCTGTAAATAGTGCTACAGCCTGTGAATGGTGCTACAGCCTTTAAATGGTGCTACAGCCTGTAAATGGTGCTACAGCCTGTAAATAGTGCTACAGCCTGTGAATGGTGCTACAGCCTTTAAATGGTGCTACAGCCTTTAAATAGTGCTACAGCCTGTAAATGGTGCTACAGCCTGTAAATGGTGCTACAGCCTGTAAATTGTGCTACAGCCTGTAAATGGTGCTACAGCCTTTAAATGGTGCTACAGCCTTTAAATAGTGCTACAGCCTGTAAATAGTGCTACAGCCTGTAAATGGTGCTACAGCCTGTGAATGGTGCAACAGCCTATAAATAGTGCGACAACATGTGAATAGTGTTACAGCATGTAAACGCTAGGAAGAAGTAGAAGAACTATGAAAAAACTATTAGGCTATGCACAAACTGGTTGACATGTTTCATTCAGGGATAAAGGACTGGTTGAGGACATGTTCCATTCAGGGATAAATGACTGGATGAGGACATGCACCACTCAGGGATAAAGGACAGAAAACAATTGTTCCACTGGGGAACCTGTCTCTAGGATGACCATGAAAAAGTGTATCCTGGCCTTCATCAGGAGTCTACAGCCGGTGAAGGCTAAGAAAACAAGCCTGAAAAAAAAAACACAACACAACTAAAAAGCATGTGAAACAACTTCCATCAGATAAGGCTAGCAGTGATGTTGACAGCAACATCAGTAACTGAGTAAACTGTGATGATGACAGCAACATCAGTAACTGAGTAAACTATGATGATGACAGCAACATCAGTAACTGAGTAAACTGTGATGATGACAGCAACATCAGTTACTGAGTAAACTGTGATGATGACAGCAACATCAGTTACTGAGTAAACTGTGATGATGACAGCAACATCAGTAACTGAGTAAATTGTGATGATGACAGCAACATAAGTTTTGAGTAAACTGTGATGATGACAGTAACATTAGTTACTGTGATGATGACAGTAACATCAATTACTATGATGATGACAGCAACATCAGTTACTGAGTAAACTGTCTGGCTATGGAGGCGGTGTAGCAGGCAGGTCCGGACCTGTGCTGGCAGCTGACCCCACAGTACAACTTGCCGTCACTGAGCAGGAAGTGTTGGTTGAGCAAGTTGCGTCCGCAGGAGTGGCAGCTTGAGGGAAGGAAAATTAGTCACATAAATTACTCATTTATCACTGTTGTAATTAAGTACAAAATGGAAAGCTGCAAATAAGTTCAAGCAGGGTTTTTTCTCCACTTAGTAGAAATATGGGTTGTGTGTGTGTGTGTGTGTGTGGGGGGGGGGGGGTTAAGGTGCCTCAGGCCTCAAGCTCTGCCACCCCCCCCCCCCCCCACCCGCACCCCGAATCGAAAACAGACTGGAATTCTAGCTGTTGAAAGCTGCAGTGGATCACCAACACAGACATGCATGCCATATTTCCCCTCCAGTTTTTTGTTGACATTCCTTGACGGGTCCTGTTTTCTAGTATACGCACACAATAAACACCCGCTGCTCCAGGGGGTACCGATCCACTTTTACCATTGTGTTCTCACTTCACGTCACCCTGAAGTTCAACACTCGTAAACAACAACTGCAGTCTAACCACCAGTCTAACTAGCAAAACGCGCAACAGCAACAGAGATCAGCCGAGGTGAGTCTGCAGCTCTAAACAGGGCCCATGCGATACACCGGCGCGACTCAAGGTCACGCGATGTTTTGCATTCAGGGATAAAGGACTTGTTGAGGACGTGTTCTAGTCATGGATAAAGGACTGGTTGAGGACATGTTCCATTCAGGGATAAAGGACTGGTTGACAACATGTTTCTTTCAGGAAAAAAGGACTGGTTGAGGACGTGTTGCATTCAGGGATAAAGGACTTGTGGAGGACGTGTTCCATTCAGGGATAAAGGACTGGGTGAGGACTGGTTGCTAGCCATTTCCAGCATTTGTTTTGGTGTCACCCGACTTTGCATGAACGGAGATGAGTCTACTCTCAATTTCGTTGCCATATCTTTATAAGTATCTGAGTTGTAAACGAAATAGTGGGTTCCGCCCCCAGTGAATCATCCAATATTAAATTTCTACAAATTTCGTGTTAGTCTACGCTATACGAAAATTTTTTAATAAAGGGAAATTAGAATATAATTTGATGACATAATATTTAGGGGTTAATTCCCTTATAAAAAACGTTTGCTGTTTTTGTCTATGGTCTTTATTTTACTAAACCAGAGCATTGATTTTTTGGACGTATCAATGGTTATTGTTGCAAACAACATCTTGGCCACAACTGAATGTGACAATACAAATTAACACAAAAAGATGTGATGTATCCGCCACACACACATGCGCGCGCGCGCACACACACACACACACACACACATATACTCCAACACAATACAAACTTATGTCCTGTATCTTGCAAAGCAGTAAGAAAATTCGCAAGAAGTACGATTGGATGAAAGGGTGCATTGTCGGTTTGTTGTTGCTACAAAAGCCATAGCTACACGAACGATTGAACTGGAAAAGGAGACATTTTGACAGCCATTTATGAATGAATGCTGAAAGAAGAGACGGGGGTAGATGAAATAACACGTGTAGGAATGCGTCAGCCTGGAATTAAGAGTTGACCTGACAAGGAGGAATGTGGGAGAGGATGAGATCAGCGTGTGTATAATCAATATGGTAGGGAACAGCCTCTCCACCTTAACACATTTGCTGCAGGAGATGGAGCATCCATGGGTGTGACCGGAGTGCTAAGATATCGATTCTGGAATCCATCAGTAATCAAGAACATCAGTAATCAAGAAACTAAGAGATTCGCTGACTAAATTTGAATATACACTAGTCAGGGCAGTGCAACATAAAAACCATTCAAGTTGCTTGACGAGCCAGTACAAAACAGGAGTCAACAGTGTAAGTTTTTTTCATGTTCCCCGGCTGCAAATTCCAGCGGAAAGTTTTGGATATTTGTCCACCCCAGACCGTTAGTCTTGTTCCAGAACATTTTTTTATAAGGAGTAGAAAATTATAGGGAAGAGAAAAAGTTGGTAAGAAACAACAATTAGTTTATAGAACATGAGTGTTGCGTACACATCCGTTTTACACATCTGATTTATCTGTATGCAGACTGTAGGGTTCTGGCCTCTTAGAAACGTTCACTCCAACTTCAAAGGAAGCCCCCAGTTAGTCGACTCTTACGTCATGCTTGTTGGGGAGGCAGTCTTGTCCCCCCCCCCCCCCCCCCTCCACAATGGGGCTCCGGAACCCACACAGGGAAACAGTGTAAGTGACATGAGTAAAAATAATTAGTGGTGTTTCCTTCTAAATGGGGGTGCATCGGTGAAACAACAGTTTGTATACACATAAGCCTGATCTGTAAAACGGATGTGCACATAAAATTTAAGTGCTGGTTCGAAATCAAAGTCCATTGGTAGACGAATCAACCAGAACTTTCTGCAGGACTTTACAACCGCTGAAAGCAAAGACGAGAAAATATACTGCTATTTTATAACACTGTGGTGCCGTTTTTTTTTTTTTTTAGTGCCCAGATATTTAAATCATCTAATTTGTGACTACATCACCTCTTTTAATATACATCTAAATGCGTTTTTCATCTATCCTTGTCTTATATAGCAGCAGTCTGAACGTGGTCGAGCTTTTCTTTTTTTTTTTTTCAAAAGGACTTGGACTGTCTTATATTTGATTTATTATACCGAGGATAAGGAATATTTATTTACTCTTTTGTTTCCTGGCTTTGAAGAATTCCTAACTGTTAATGACGTGAAGTCACTACGCCTTAAAACATTTTTTTTTTTTTAAGTTTAAGTCAGATGTTTTGGGACAAAGGGTTCAAATCTTACAGTCTAACTGTAAACCACAACACAGTGTAGCAACCAGCCTTAATCAAGGGCGAACTCAGATGAAAATATTACCTGAAACAGTGAGGACAGGCATGCCAGTGAATTCCTCCATGGGTTGTTCCAGGGGCGTCAGCGGTGATAGGTCGTTGACAGGTGTTACAGATCTGCAAGTGAAAGATAAGTCACCGAAGTTGCTGATGCCTCATACCTTCTTCAAGTGATGTATGCCCCCCCCCCCCTCCACGGGGTTTCAGGGCTCTGTTGTAGTGGGGTTGGAAAGGGGGGGGGGGCAGAAAAGACCCGATGCCCCTCATAACAAGCACAACATACAAGTCGATTAATTAGGGGTATTTTCTTCGAAGTTGGAAGACGTCTGCCTGCAAGCTGCTGGTGCAATGCTCTACTTCAGTGCGTCAGATTCGGGGCAGTCTTGCAGAATGTGTTCTGCAGTTTGGCGCCACGTTCCACATTTTCACATGGTTAATATACCATTCTCAAATTTTGTATACAAGTGGTTGTGCAGTGGATTGCACCCTGTTCTGAGGTTCAGAATAATGGCTTGTTCTGACCTATTAATAATAAAGTAGTCGTCTTATTAGTTAATTTGTTAGTTAGTTAGTTAGTTAGTTAGTTAGTTAGTTAGTTAGTTAGTTAGTTAGTTAGTTAGTTAGTTAGTTAGTTAGTTAGTTAGTTAGTTAGTTAGTTAGTTAGTTAGTTAGTTAGTTAGTTAGTTTGGTTATCAACGTCATTGCACTCCGGACATGTCTTTAGGTGCTCAGATCCTCCCCTCAGTATGAACCCCAACGTCCGATGGCTAATGGTACCAGTTCTATGTTGATTAACAAGTCTTCTGGTGTGTCTGGTGTGCGTCTCGTTTTTTTTTTTGCTATGCCGATTCTCATTCCCAAGTCTGTCATTCTGGTGAGTGATGTGGATTCACTGCCCCCAAAGTCCTCTATCCTTCCCATTTCTCTGAGTCGTCTTATGTTAGGATTGATGGTTGTCTGTGTGATTTTAATCAATCAATCTGATTTTTACTAAAAGGGTGAAAAGCGTACTTTACTTAACATTTACAATAAACCTTACACGAGTCACAGAGTTTTGTAAGATACTCACCATAACTTACTCTGAATACTTACTTTACAGATGAGTTTGTCAAAGCAGTTGACACAGTACGGATTATTGTCCTTGGCAATGTACCTCTGGCCGGCCAAGGGGGCATCGCAGTGCCAGCAGCAGAAATGTTGCACGTGCCACGAGTGAGCTTCTGCCTGAGTGTACTCACGGGAAAATATTATCTGAAACAGTCGTCAGTTTTGATATTACATTCTTGTTGATCAACGCAGCGATATCGCTATTTGTCAAACCAAACGACGATTTAAACAAAACAAAGGACATAAAAAGATATGAACATGTTGTCTGTCTGGCCTTCCATCCATCTATTTACTCATCTCCATTCATTCAATAATTCGTCTGTCCATCTAACCATTCATCAATGGTTAGTTCGACTTTAGTTTCCCCAGACCCCGCCCATAAACACTAGCTCACTTCTAATTGGTAGTTCCTGAGCCCGGTGACCTTCGCAAAATGTTACGGGGGTGTTCTGCAATGCCGTTTATATCGCGTGTTGTATATTTCAGAACGCGAGCGCTTTTGACAATCCAAAAACTTGGAGAAACTGGCTATAACACAACTCCCCTAGAGAGTGCTACAATCTATGTCAGGCATTCTCTTTCTCGGAATGAAAACGTAAAGGCAAGACATCGTAGAAACCAAACAACAGAGCGGGACAAACCCGTAACCTTCAGGAAAGACAACCAGCCCAACAAACTTGTGAACGAAAAGTGACCTACTCTATTTGGGGAGACTAACGTCGAACTAACCCAATCAATCTTTCAAATGCTTAGGGCCTCTGAGGGGTTAATTAGGCCCTACATGACACTCTGGAACTGGGCTCACCCAAAGAGTCGTCATGTCCATCTCATGACTGTTTAACCAGAACCGTCGGTAGTACTAGTACTACCGACGGTCCTGGTTCAACCTGCCTTCAGTAAATTGAGCTTCTCACTTATCAGGAACTGCACCTCTAGACGCCAACAGAGTTTCGATTCTCTGTTCAAAATGCGTACTTTGTTTCTTCAACATGTTAGACTTTTCGTAGGGGACTTCCCTGTCTACCACAACTTATAACTGGTAATAAATTTAAATTATTTCAAGAACTAAACTGATTGATTGACTGACAACTTTCCTTTTTTTCCAGATGATAGTATTGTATTGTGTTATATCAAGCCATGGGATTCACAACCCATGGCGATGGCGAGTGTGACTAACAAAAGCTGCCCGCGTCAAGTAAAGTCTTACCCAATTATAGCATGGGATTTCGTGACCTTTGTTGTCAACATTTGTGTTTAGTCTGTTTCTTCTCAAACGCTCAGCTTTCATCCTTTTTGCGATAATTTCATCTTTCATTCTCATATTCCCTTCCTGATGTGCCTCCCCCCACACAACACAATCTATGGCATTTGTTCTCACGAGTCCAACTCAATACATGTATCATTCATATCGCGCTTACAGACGTCTAGTAGAGGTTTGTATATAGTAGGTCGGCCTCGACACCATCTACCTGTTTTTAATTCATCATAGAGGATGTCCTTAGGGACTATGCCACCCTCCATTCTCCAGGTGTGACCCATCCACCTGAGCCTTCCTAGACTGATCATTAAGAAAACAGATGATAGAATAAAGTATATAAGCGTAAACAGGAACCAAATACCCGTATGTCCAACCACGTCCGGCTGTAAATAGAGAAGGCCGTATGTCCAACCACTTCCGGCTGTAAATAGAGAAGGCCGTATGTCCAACTGTCTTACCTCGTCACAGGCAAAACATCTCGGGTACAGAAGATCGGCGTAGTGTCTCTCGCAGTAGATTCTGCCTTTCTTGCTGAAGTAGATCATATCGACCAGCAGCTGCTGGCAGGTGAAGCAAACAAAACAGCCGGGGTGCCAGCACTCCCCCACAACTTTGGTGGCAACCACGGCAGGACTTCCCTTCTCCATCTTCTTCTGGCAGTTGTGGCAGCCCTAGTGAGGAAGAATGCCCAGAGAGTTTCGTTAAGTCATGCTAGAAAGTGTACATGTGTCTGTGGTTAGTGTTTCTGAGCCGGTTAGGAAATCTGATCCATTTCAGAAAGAAAAACAAAGGCGGTATCGACATTGTCATTGCACGGTCAGGTGGTACCCGGTGCGAAACATATTCTGTCTATTCGCCACCTATACACACATCAACACACTCAAACACTTTTTTAAATTAGAATATATATTTATATATATATATATATATATATATATATATATATATATATATATATATATATATATATATATATATAGCAACTTGTGTGTGTGTACACATGCCTCATTGATTACACCCGATGCGGACGGCAAGCCCCGGGGCTAAGCCTTTGGTCATCATATGGGGATGTTAAAGGACCCTTTCCCACGACTTGAGGCGTATTGGGCATATAGGGCTATATCTATACTTTATTGACCAATCACATGACCATACCTAGTATTTACTCAAGTGGGGGAAGGGGGGGGGTCGACCTGGGAACCAAGGTCATTCATGAAGTCCGGCTTCTTCAGGACTCCCTCCCTCTATTCCTTCCTCCACCCATTCCTTCCTCCCTCCATTCCTTCCTCCCTCCATTCCTTCCTCCCTCCATTCCTTCCTCTCTCCCTTTCCCCTTTTCTTATTTCCTCCCTCCTTCCTTCCTCCTTTCTTCCTCCATTCTTCCTCCATTCTTCCTCCTTCCTCCCTTCTTTCTTCTTCCTTCCTTCTTCCTCCGTCCTCCTTCCTCTTCTTCTTCCTCTTCTTCTTCCTCTTCTTCTTCTTTTTCTTTGATTCTTCTGTCAGAAAACTTATATCAGGAGGCCGCTATCCTTTATGAAAGCTATCTTGCAGTCCACATCTTCTCGTGTACCATAAAGTTTGCGTCCCTACTGTCAGCAGAATGACTTTTAATTCCTACTCTCTCTCTCTGGCGAATGATAGGCCAGAATATGTTTATTTCCTTCTGAGTCATGTTAATGAGTCGAGTATTACCTACTGTTAGTTAGGCGTCTCACGCATTTATCATCCGTGGTATACAATTGTAGAATTTTACCAAACAAACAAATAAAAATGAACTTCATAAAAGCTTATAATAAAAGGTTATTAAAAAATTACCTTCAGTCAGTAACATTGTACTGTAGACCTCAGATCAGCTCATTAAAATGCAAACCAAATCACGCAGCAATAGACTGACAACAGCTGACAGATTATTTCAAATACAGATCACTATCATCATTACTGTGTCATTAAGATAAACTAGAATCAAGGATCACTTCTGTCTTCTTATACCCTCCACCCATTCACCTACCCACCCACCCATCCTCCCACCCACACACACACACACACAGAGAGAGAGAGAGAGAGAGAGAGAGAGAGACAGAGAGAGAGAGAGAGAGACAGAGAGAGAGAGAGAGAGAGAGAGAGAGAGAGATAGGCTGCGTGTCTCAAGGTATGGTGTCCGCCTCGAGTGCTACAGTTTCTGGGTTCAATCCCCGGTAAAGGCGGGGATTATTTCACGTGGACTTTGACTTCTAGTAATTCCCCCTGGTTTCTGGGTAGTGAGATCGGACGCCCGTGTACATTGTGGCGTACGTAAAAAAAAAAAAAACACCCTAGCATTTGGAATTCGATCAGTGTCGCCTACTGGCGCTGCCTGGGCAAAATTTGGAGTTAAAAATCTACCCCAAAGTATTTCAGGATCCTCGCCGGCGCTATAGAGCCTGTGCACTGTACTGAGCTTCTTTGGACTCAGACTTGAGTTAGAAGAAGAACGGAGCACTTATGGGTTACTACCCGTGTGCCATGATGTTAATCCGTTGTTTAGACTTGTTCAAACTAGAAAGAGATAAAGAGAGAAGGGGGAGAGAAAGAAGAGAGAGAGAGAGAGAGAGAAAGAGAGAGAGAGAGAAAGAGAGAGAGAGAGAGAGAGAGAGAGAGAGAGAGAGAGAGAGAGAGAGAGAGAGAGAGAGAGAGCAATTCAAAAGGTCTGGCTTCTGTCTTTAAAAAAAAACCCAGGGAATGAAAACTCTCTCTAGACAACGAAGGTTATGACCTCACAATTTGACCCGACCTGAGGTTTCACCTTTAGCCTTCACTTCTCTTCTAACTGACCATTTCATTGAGATTTTAACCTTATCGAACTCTTCCGCTTGCGTTTTATTTTTTAACCTTGACTATCTTATGTCAGGTTTTTTTTTTGGGGGGGGGGGGGGGGGGAACCCCCCCCCCCCCCCCCCCCCACTTTACACCCTTCCCCAATCTCAATGCGAAAATATTTCACCTTGTCGTATTTATATCTTGCCCCATCGGTGAAGGTTGTTGCCATAGATAATGACCTGGCAACTAAGATTTCAAGAACTATGAACAGGTAACTAGATAGTTGAGAAAATGGGAAATAATTCTAGGAAGTAAGGGACACAATTTTAAGCATAACCTGTAGAATAACGGAAAGACACAAAGCCTTCTCACAAATGTTTTAGAACACGGTTTTACTCAAGTGGCGAGGCACCTCTTTGTCCTGTTTGTTCTTATAAATTAATCAAGTAATAGAAAGTGCATTGATTGGCACTCATAGAAAGAAGTAGAAAGATAGAAGAACACACTAGGCAACATAAAAATCGAAAGCCATAGTTACTGTGCCGGGAATTGAACCTGTCACCTCCAGATGGCGTGTGCGAATCACCATGAATACGAGTGCACTAAGAACATGGTCAACCAGGCACCCCCCCCCCCCCCCAAGTGTCTTGTTGGCCATGTCTATCGTACAGCTTGAAATCCACAACTATGGAATACGGACAGAATTCATTTCAAACCATTGAAATGGCACCATAGGTTACATAAATTTATATTAACGAAACATATGTCGAATAACGATCACAGCAACAATTTACGAACACAGTCTTTTCTCTGTGTTTATATGTATACACAAATGCTGCTGTCACTGCTACTACTAGGGCTTTAATTAGGCACTTGCAAAACGTGCAGGAGTGGCATGAAATAAAACCAACGATGCCAGCATCAAGAGCATACAATATGAAAATCGAAACACCAAGAGGCAGGGGAAGACCAAGAAGAAGATGGATTGAAGGAGTCACAGACAACTTGAGACTTCATAACATCACGGCATATGAAGCGACTCAGCGCGCCCTGGCTCGGTTGCCGATCATCTGATAGACTGCGACGCCTAGCGGCACAAGCAGATTTTTGACAAAAGAAGAAGAAGATTCACGTTAATCTCCCCAAATAGAGTAGGTCACTTTTAATTCACAAGTGTTTTGTTTCTCCATGTTTTTTTTAATGTTAAAAGCGCTGGCGTGCTGAAATATACAACATGCGATATCAACGGCATTGCGGAGCACTCCCCCCCCCCGTAACCTTGTGCCAAGGTGACAGGTTTAAGAACTACCAATCATACGTGAGCTAGTGTGTATATGTGCGGGGCGTGGGAAGATCAACGTTACTTTTACTCTTAATATGGGCCTCCTCCTACTCCCCCCTCCTCCTCCACCTGCTGCTGCTGCTATTACTACTACTGTTACTTGCTGCTGCTACTACTACTGCTGCGAGTGTGACTAGCAAGACCTGCCGGCGTTGAGAGAACTATTTCACAGTTAGAACATGGTATTTCAGGACCGTTATTGCCGTTATATGCATTTAGTCTGAATCTTCCAAGAAACGTAACTCTCAGCTTATCAACGATCATTTGTGTTGATGTTGTTGCTTGAGTTAGTTGAGTGTACTTTACTGGACGTTGCAGAACCAACCCCATAATTTTTGTACAGTTTGTGATTTCACTAGGTGATTTTACGTTCAGTAGTTTGCCATAACCCACAAACGGTCGGCTCTCGATTCCACTGTCGAAACCAACGCTACGCAGTCTGCTGTCAAATCGTCTGCAGCTGGAATCGAACACGGTACCTTGAATTTAGGAAGTGTGTTAGCAACACCTGTGCTACTTCAACTACTATCAACACCACTACCACCGCCACCACCACCACACTACTACTACTACTACACCACTATTACTACTACACTACTACACTACTACTACTACTACTACTACTACTACTACTACTACTACTACTATACTACTACTACTATACTACTACTACTATACTACTACTACTATACTACTACTACTATACTACTACTACTATACTACTACTACTATACTACTACTACTATTCTACTACTACTATTCTACTACTACTATACTACTACTACTATTCTACTACTACTATTCTACTACTACTATTCTACTACTACTATACTACTACTACTATACTACTACTACTATACTACTACTACTATACTACTACTACTATACTACTACTACTATACTACTACTACTATTCTACTACTACTATACTACTACTACTATTCTACTACTACTATTCTACTACTACTATTCTACTACTACTATACTACTACTACTATACTACTACTACTATACTACTACTACTATACTACTACTACTATACTACTACTACTATACTACTATACTACTATACTACTACTACTACTACTACTACTACTACTACTACTACTACTACTACTACTACTACTACTACTACTACTACTACTACTACTATACTACTATTACTACTATACTACTATACTACTACTACTACTATACTACTACTACTACTATACTACTACTATACTACTACTACTACTATACTACTACTACTACTATACTACTACTACTACTATACTACTACTACTACTATACTACTACTACTACTATACTACTACTATACTACTACTACTATACTACTACTACTATACTACTATACTACTACTATACTACTACTACTACCATACTACTACTACTATACTACTACTACTATACTACTACTACCATACTACTACTACCATACTACTACTACTATACTACTACTATACTACTACTACTATACTACTACTACTATACTACTACTACCATACTACTACTACTATACTACTACTATAC